CATACCCTTCATAATATTTCTTTAAGGGTAAGCACTAATCAAAGATAAAGAGTAGCAAGCAAAATATATTAAACATGGGAGAAAAAAGAAAAGAAAAAGAAAATCTTAAATCTAATTTACATTTGACCTCTCTATATTTATTTAACCATGTTTAATTTTTTCCATCTCTTTTCATCTTTAGTAAACATACAGCTGTCATTGCATTCAGCAACCATTTTTGAATTTGATAATCAAACCTATTCATGTTATCATGTCTATTGTTAAATCCACAAACATGCACTTCTCCACAGTCTGCCAAAGAGCAGAAGTCTGCCTAGTAAAAAACCACACTGGACTTCCTAAAGTTTGCCAAGTGGGACTACTTAGTTCAGCAAATTAGCCAAATACATTTTTCATCTCAGATATGATAGTTTACCATATTTTTCCATGTATAAGACACTATTTTTTCCTGCAAACTCCCTGTTCAAAAATCAGATGCATCTTATACAAGTGCCGCGTCTTATACACGAAAAAATAATGGTAACCTCCGCAGCCCAGAGCATGCCTGTGTGGGTTTTTTACATGCCGCTGCCATGCCGCCTGGTACAGGTGTCAAGCCCCTGTGGGCTTGCCACTAATGGGAGGGGGAGGGGCAAGATCATCGGCAGGCCGAACTTCCGGATTTGCTGGCTCAGCTGTTCAGTGCTCCACCGAACAGCTGATCGGCACGGAGACACTCGCGTACCAGAGTGTCTTATACAAGGGTGCGTCTTATAGATGGAAAAATACGGTAATTACTACTAAACCTAAATATTTTTTAGTGTATGTGTGTACAATGTAGGGATATTTTTCTGTATCAGTCTAATACTGGCTAATGGTATCTCTTCCTAAACTTCTGTTTGCAACCCACTTGCTGCAGGATGACACTTCATTAACATATCTGAGGGACATGTCTTCAGGATGTCATCTCAATCACATTGCCAGCTTTTTGCCAGCTTTTTGCTGAAGTAGCCAAAAGCATCTTTAGTTGTTCCAGTTTGGAAGTAGAGATTTACTTCTTCCCCCACATAGAAAATTTAGGATTCACATCTGAATAATCTATAATACCCAGAAATGGCATGGTCAGAGATTGTGATCTGCTCAGCTCCTTTTGAAGATGTCCCTGATTTCAGAGGCCAGTCTTTTTGACACATGGGAGAAGGCCATCCCAGTACAGGTAGTCCTCGACTTACAACAGATCATTTTGTGGCCATTCGAAGCAACAAAGGCACTGAAAAAAGTGACTTTATAAAATAATCATGTATTTTACAAGTGATCAGATCAATCTTTTACTACTGTGTCATGCTTCTTAAGGTTTTTCACACTTTGTAGGGTTATTTATCCTCATATAATAATAATAATAATAATAATAATAATAATAATAATAATAATAATAATAATAATAATAATAATAATAATAATAATAATAAGGTTGGAAGGGACCTTGGAGGTCATCTAGTCCAACCCCCTGCTCAGGCAGGAAACCCTATATCATTTCGGACAAATGGCTGTATTGTATAATACAGTAGAGTTGAATATATTCTGCATTCTCAAGCACGTAGTACCAATCCCTTGAAGCTTTTCTACAATTAAAAGCTAAACAAGATCAGCTCTGCTAAGTAGTTGAATGTGAAACCACTAGGCTAAACTGAACAGGGAAAGCAAAACAAAATTTAAAAAATAAAAAAACCTAAGAAAATTAAAATAAATCAATGAAATACTGTTCTGTCCTCACTACACATTACCCTGTGTGTAGCTCGACAGAACAGTGAAACAGCAAGGCTGGGATATAGATTTTTGTCTTCAAAAGAACATATGTCACAGACTAAGCTGGATTCTTCTAGATGTTTCTGTTACCTCAAAATGTTACAAAATGGAGTCTGGCTTCTCAGGATGTAGGGGTACTCAGTGGGGTCAAAAATGCTACCAAAAACAGTTCTAATCAATGAAAGGTTTGTCCCTGGCCACTTGGTGGGTGGGGCTCAACACATGCCAGACAACAACAACAAACACAAACTCTATGCTGAAGGCATGACCAAGACCATTTCTCAGTCTATGGCTCCCTAATGGCTCCCAGGGGTTTGATTTGAAGACAGTTTTAACTTTGCATTCCATTATTAACATTTCAAAAATCAGCTTAGCTTTGAACATTTAATAGCATAGAAAAATAATACATGCTGCTGTTGTTGCTAATGCCATTGGCCATGTTTTTTTTCTGAAAAAAGGAAGATATTTTTTTCTTATTCCACAAAACCTGAAAACTACGTTGCAGAATTTTTTCTGAATATTTTATTTCTCTTCACTGTTTTAGCTATAAACCATCCTCTCACAAAACCGCTCCCCTTAATATTGGGATTTTTTTGCTGATGCAGATTCATCATCCCCTTTCACCAAACTTTCATTCAAAATAGAGTACAGAGGACAGACCACCTGGAGTCCCATTTTCCATCTCTATTTTGCTGCCCTTGTGTAAATAAAAAAATTAAATTGGAACAACCAAACTCCCCCCTTTAGCACCCATTCAATCAAATGTTTATGGTTTTCAATGGCACCATAAACTACTGGTTGTTTTCCTAATGTTGTCTGGTTAATTCAGACAGCTGCTGGGTAACAAACTAATATTTGGAAATTATTATTTCTATGACACCACTTAAAAGAAGAGGGGATAGCCTGTCTTCCCTAATTTTCCATGGGCTTTCCCTCCCATGGGATGCAGCAAGAGTTTGTTGAGAGGCAAAGCTTGGAAAGCAAGCAGAGAAGCAGACCGTTCCTCCTAATTAGATAGGAAGCAATCTCTTAAAAACGAGTGGCTGCCTTTTTAGCCCATCTGTCAAAGAGCAAAGCCTCCAGGCTTGATACTATCTATTTATTCCTGCAGGAGAAGACCAAGATTAATCCTTGATTGGAAAATGAGGTGGCCACAGGTGGAAAGCAGCTGCATTTCATCCCAGGCCCCACACTGCATAGTCCAAACTGGTGGGCCTACATAGACCTGTGGTTGGAGGCCTGTTTCTGACTTAAAGCCATCTAAACTGGTTCAGTTTGCAAAAATCTATCAGCAACCTAGGTCCATGTTAGACAAATGTATTTGAAATGTATCAGTGTTAAGCATCCTGCTTTGGGGGAAATAGCCTGGATATCTATTTTCTCCTAAATGATTGTGCAACATCTACTATTTACAAGTGGTGGGGTTTTTTCCCCTTTCTTGCACAAGGAAATGGTTCAATATGGGGGAAAGCTGGTTATTTAGTCATTTTTCATATTTATAGACTAGTGAGGCCCACAGATGCATAGAATATTGTAGTAATGACCTGAGGGATGTTAGCTATACACATGTTGGGTCAAGGGTTTTCTTAAAAATCAAAATGCACAGTACATTTCATCTGAGGCTGTAAACAAGCTTTGTGAATCTGAGGCCAGTGGTTTTGTAAATCTGGTGTAATACTTCTAGGAATTTTATCTACTCAATGATACAATCTGTTGGCAATGTATACTCAATTATTCTTGCCATTTGTGAAAGCATTTTGAATAATTATAATTATAAACCAGAATAATTATGCTGGTGAGGTATTAAGGAGTTTAAAGCATCGGGAGTAAATGTATTGTGAAATAGAAGGACTGAGCTTCCTTCTCTGATTAAAATAGTTTTCATGTGTTTTGAGGAGAAGCATGATTTTTTTCTCACTTTTTCATTTATTTCGAGGAACTTCTAAAGAAAATTAGAGACAGGAGACACAGGAAGGTTATTCCCTCTGTCTTTCCATTCCCCCCCCCCTTAAATAAATGTTAACAATATTTTTTTTATTAGTAAGTATGATATGTCTCCCCTCTCCATGAAATTACACTTAAATTATATTTATACAGTAGATTATTTATTTAAAGAGGACACATATGATTATTAATGCTGGCCGGGGACGATGGAACTTATAATGGAATACATATGGAAAGGGGTGGCCAGGGGTGTTCTCAGGAGGGGGTTTAAAAAAGGCAAGATGGCAGTTCTTTTTTTTTATTCTATGCCAGACAAGGTTACATAGCAAGGTGAGATGGTGTTGTTCCTGGTGTTAAAATTTGTTCAAGGTTAAAGATTTTTTTCATGGTGATGGTGGTAAAAAAAATAAGATAAAGAATAAAAAATAATAAGAAAACATAGAAAATGCAGAAAAATAATACAATAAAAAATTGAAAATAAAGAAATATAGTAAAGGAAAAAGAAAAAAAGAATTTTATCTGTATACCAATCCTTGCAAAGAGCCAGATAGGAGATTGTTTCCTCAGATAATCTGTGGTCAGCTTTGTCTTTCAGAGGAAATATGTAGAATGACAGGCTAGTTAGTGTTGTGTTTGTGCTGTGAGAACTGGTAATGTTATAGGAATCAAGGAAGAGTTGGAATGGAGCTTTGGAAGAAGATGATTAAGTTGGGATCAGGATCCCAGCAAGGAGCTAGTAGGATCAGAAAGAGTTATCTGGCAAATGACTGGCTGGTGGAAAAGAGTGAAATGTCTGGGAAGGATAGACCAGGAGTTAACTTTAACCAAGATGCTGGATTTCAAGAAGCTCAAGGAAGGAAGGAAGGAAGGTTTTCTCTTCCATTCTTTTTTTCTAGGCTATAAAAGCAAACCATGTATATGAGGATAAAAAGGGGATAAAAAGAGAGAACAAATGAAAAAGCAGTGTACAAAAATATATGTCAGTAAATATGCAATATAATTTGTTCAGTTAGGTTATTGTATGTAATAGAAATAAATTATTTACTTCAAAAGCAAACTACAACAATAACAATAATTATAGTTTGGAAAACAACATATGCACATCTCTAATATAGTAACTTTCTCCCTCCTCATGCAAAAAGGACTGAAGAATGCTGAACATACTGTCAATTGTCCCCAAACAAATGGGGACCAACTACTGTTATCAATCTAAAAAATATTTTTGAAGAGTTTCAATGTTTTTTTCTATTATTAATCTATACAGAGCTAGGATGTGGCTGTTTCTGGTAATGGCATGCTTAATCTTGCAGACTGAAAATTCAGAAGGATCTGTAAGGCATTTGAATCCTCAAGAATTCATGACAATTGTAAGTTGCTTATCTGGATGCCTTTGAAAACAGAGCATTGAATTCAAACGCTAAAATCATGCTTACTATTTATTTATTATTTATTAGTTTGTTTGTTTGTTTATTTATTTATTTATTTATTTATATTTCATATTTCTAAACTAAATCTTTCTCAAAGATTTGCTCTAAGCAGTGTACAATATAATATAGAGAAATAAAACAACATATTAAAAATAACATTAGAAATTAAAAATGAAATTAGGGTTAAAAATTTCAGAATTATAGAATGATAAACATCAAAAGGGGGGCTATGGCCATTTAGTGTTTATTACAGGCGGGATGGGGCTTTCAAGGGACTAGCCAGCCGCACAATTGCAAAGCCACAGAACCAAGTTTTGATCTCTTTGTGGAAAGCTAAGAGATTGGGGGGCACTCCCTAACCTCTCGGAGCAAGATGTTCACAAAAAGGGATCAGCAGCAGAGAAGGCTAACTCTTCATTGAAAAGATGTATGTAAAAATGAACGAAGAAATGCAAAATAAAGTTTAGGACTTACTTACTAAAAAAAAAAAAACCCAAGAGAAAAAGACCACTATTGACCTACCTGTTGCAACAAGGAAGACTAGAATGGCATTTTAGTGGGAATATTTTATACTTTGTCAGTTTTCCTTTTGGCATTGCATTGAATACCTAGGAAATGTGTGAAATATTAAGTGTTTCATACTTTGATGTCCCATTTTTGGCATTCTATACATCAGAGTTCCCCAACTTGCTGCTTAGTAAGCTAGAAAAAGAAGAGATAGACAACATCACCACCAGATGAATCTGTAGCTGGCTGACAAACCATACTCAGAGAGTGGTCCTCAATAGTACTACATCCATATTGAGAGAAGTACACAGTGGGGTACCACAAGGCTCCATCTTAGGCCAAGTACTCTTTAATATCTTCATAAATGACTTAGATGAGAGAATAGAAGGGGAACTCATCAAATTTGCAGATGACACTAAACTGGCAGGAATAGCCAACACTCCAAAAGACAAGCTCAGGATCCAAAAAGATCTTGACAAACTTGAACAATGGGTCCTATACAACAAAATGAATTTTAATGTGGAGAAAAGCAAAGTTTTATATTTAGGCAGGGAAAAAAAACAGTAATTGTGAGAGGGACCTTGAAGTCCTAGTGGACGATCACTTGACTATGAGCCAGCAGTGTGTAGCAGCAGCCAAAAAAGCTAATACAATCCTGGGTTGTATAAACAGAGATATAGAATCAAGATCACGCAAAGTATTAGTACCACTTTATAAAACCCTAGTAAGACCACACCTAAAATACTGCAGCCAATTTTGGTCACCATATCACAAATAAGATGTTGAGAGTTTGGAAAAAATTCAGAGAAGAACACCTAAGATGATCAAAGGCCTGGAGATTAAAACATATGAAGAATGGCTGCAGGACTTGGGTTTGGCTGGTCTAAAAAGAAGAAGAAATAGGGGAGACTTGATAGCAGTATTCCAGTATTTGAGGGGCTGCCACCAAGAAGAGGGGGTCACATTATTCACCAAAGCACCAGAGGGCAGGACAAGAAACAATGGTTGGAAACTGACCAAAGAGAGAAGCAACCTGGAATTAAGGAGAAACGTCCTAACAGTGAGGACAATTAACCAGTGGAACAGCTTGCCTTCAGAAATTGTGGGTGCTCCATCACTAGAGGTTTTTAAGAAGAGACTAGACAGTCACTTGTCTGAAATAGTATAGGTTCTCCTGCTTGAGCAGGGGGTAGACTAGAAGACCTCTAAGGTCTATTCTATTCTATTCTATCCTATTCTATTCTATTCTATTCTATTCTATTCTATTCTATTCTATTCTATTAATATATGGTAGGAACTAGAAATCTTCTGGGTTTTTGATGCAATGAACAACAGTGATTATATAACTGATTTTGGCCAAAGTTATAATATTTTATTTGCAGCCTCAAATTATCCAGTACTGGGGATATTCTAGCGAAGAGTATGAAGTCCTGACTGATGATGGCTTTTATCTTAAGTTAAACAGAATTCTTTCTAGAAGACTTTTTCTTCATCTGACAGGTATATCTATAAGGTAGCATTTCCAGAGAGAATGTATAAATGTGAAATGATAATTGAAGTAGAAGTGATTAAAACTAATACTTAGTATATTGCTTGCCACATAAACAACACCCAGATTAGCAGCAGTTAACAACAGATAAACAGTCAAGCAGAAACCAATATTCTAATTAAGAAATTACCAAGGATAAAATCACACCTCCACTAATACTGCCAGTAATACTGTATATAAATATGGAGCAAACCCCGCACTCACTTCCACTGATGGTATTACCTAGTTGGGTAATAAAACATCTACAGTCAAACAACCAAACTCAGAAATCCACAATACTAAAATGTTTTTACAATTTTTGAGAAGTATTGGATAGGCTTGATAGGTATTGATAGATGGTTGGAAAATTACTGTAGGTAATCTTCAATTTAGTCTGCACCTGTTCTGTCCCAGCCTATGTGAGTCCTTGTTATGCTCACAAGGAGAAACCCGTCTTCCAAGAAACAGGCAGGAACCGCAAGAAAAACCAACCCCTTTTATTCTCACAAATCTGAGTCAATGTCCAAGGCAAACAAACACAGTTCACAGAAACTCGATCCTAAACACGAATGGTTGCCTTCAGTAACCAGCACCTCCCACACCTTCCCTTTTATAATTCAGCCAAAGCGTGGCTTCCTAATGCCTTCTCCTTTGCCTTTGGTGCCGCCCCATTGCATTCCTCTGTCCTACTTGTTTCTCTTGCCGGTGGTTTCATGCATCCTGGATTTGTCCCAACTGTGCTTCATCACTGTCCAACTCAGGCTCCCAGCACAGCTGTGTCTCAGCCTGAGTGCACATAGAGGGGCCAGGCTCCTTGTCCGACTGTAAGTCTTGGAGCTCCTCAGAGTCTTCCTCTGACTCTAATGTCACTCCAGGCCCCTCCTCCTCATCTGATTCCTCAGACTCAGCTGCCGGATCCACTGGCTGGTGAGGAATCACAACAGCACCTACTACATGCCCAGTTACTCCTTATATCTGGATTAGAGCCACCATACGCACCTTTCAATATAGCTAGCAAAAATATACATAGCTTTATGTTTATTTATTTAGCAGAATAGTCTTTGGTTATTTAAACTTTAACCCTTTTGTGTACATCATGGCAGCAGAGTGGAGATAGAATGTAGGATGTTAGGTCCTACTTCTGTACAGGTAGTCCTCGACTTACGACAGTTCATTTAATGACCATTCAAAGTTACAATAGCACTGAAAAAAGTGACTTATAACCATTTTTCATAGTTACAACTTTGCAGCATCCGCATGATCATATGATCAAACTTCAGATGCTTGCCAACTGGTTCATACTTATGACGGTTGCAGTGTCCCAGGGTCATGTGATCACTTTTTGTAATCTTCTGACAAGGAAAAGTCAATGGGGAAGCCAGATTCATTTAACATCTGTGTTACTAACTTATCAGCTGCAGTGATTCACTTAACAACTGTGGCAAGGATGTCATAAAATGGGGCAAAATTCATTTAACAAATGTCTCATTTAACAACAGAAATTTTGGGCTTAATTGTGATTGTAAGTTGAGGACTACCTGTATTTCTACTCCTCCTCTGTTCTCAACAATTTGATGAACAGGAACGATATATACTGTGATGAAGACTTTTCCTTCAACAACTGTATACAACATAGCTAACATACAATTAGTAATACACTCATGATTTATTTCCCAGGGCCTAAGCCAGTTGTTTTATTAGTACATGGTTTGCTGTTTGAAGGGAGATGTTGGATTGCAAATCTTCCCAGCAATAGTCTGGGATTTTTTCTATCAGATGCTGGATATGATGTCTGGATAATAAATATCAGAGGGACCACATGGTCTAGAAGACACCAGAAATTTTCAATTGATCAGCAAGAATTCTGGGAATTCAGGTAAATTCAAGAGAGAATACATAGGATAGTAAATGTTAAGAAGATACATACTTACGTATCTATGAACAAATTTGACTGAATTATGGAATCATGAACAATATATACTGAAAGCATGGTATGAATGTGAGATTTTTGTGGCACATCTAATACAAAGTTTTCAGTATTAGAACTTAATTTTGTTTTGAAAATTGTATATATTCCAGGACTGGATTTTGTTAGCATAAAATATAGACTTTAAGTGCAAATTATCAAGAATTAAAAGTTGTGTGTATATGTTCAAGGGGATGTATGATATCATCATGTAGGAAAGCACCACATAGTGGTTTAGAAAATATGCAATGCATAATAAACCCAATAAGATAAAATAATCTAGAAATTTAAGACATTAAAAATGAAGATGGGAAAGTAAAAGTAAAAGAAATTCAAAAGCACTCATCCAATGTTCATTAAGCATGAATGAAGTCTATGGCAGATGCCTAAAAGAGCCTAATGAACTTCATAGGACAGAACATTCCAAAGTGTAGGTTGCCATGACAGAAAAATCTAGCCTGCAACCAGTGGTGGGATTCAAATATATGACCAATGGGTTCTCTGTGTGGATGCCACTTCTGGAAGTCCATTCTGGGCCTGGGTAACAAAAAATTAGCTACCGGTTCTGCCAAAGAGGTGCAAACCGGCTGAATCCTACCACTGCCTGCAACTAAATGGTATTCTGTAGTTCTGGGCACAATTAGCAATATTATGTCTACCCATTTTGACATCAAGTAGGAGAAAACAATATCTGGATGTTATGTGTAGGGCATTATATCTCATAAATGTAATCTATCTTAATTGGCAGCCAGATGAAATGCTTCAGTAAAGATTTATCATGTTACAGCCAAGCCTCCCACATCAAAACCTGTTTGCCACATTTCTTCCTCCATCTCAAAAGAAAAAAAAAGATCTCCTAAAATCTCCATAATTTCAACAATCAATAATTTTGCCACAGATTAGGGTGGGCTCCCTCAAAAGGCAGTCCACCCTCCTCTCTGCATTCTGAAATAAATTCTAAATTGAACATTTGCTTCACTTATAGGGGCATGGTAGCTATGAAATCCAAGGCTGGTCCTTGTTCAACAACAATATGCCAAATTAAAGCCTTCAAGCTACATTAATTCTGAATTTTAGGTTTATTTTGGGATGACACTAAGGGACAGAGAAACTCTATCCTCCCCAGCATTCTACTTGCTGGTCTGATACTGCATTGAGAAACCAAATAGCAGAACTAGATGAAAATCAACCTAGCTTATCCTTCATCCAAGTTTTTATAATTTTTAGAAATTCTGTTTATATAGCTCTATGGAACAAACAAGGTGCACAGTTATCATGTGCTTTACTGTTAACTGTAACAGGAAATAGGAAAATTTTCTAAGAACAAAAAGACATAGAGTATATGCCATAGATGCAAACCTATAAATACTGCCATCTATTGGTTGGCTGTAGTTGTTGCATTCCAACAATGTATTCCAACAATAATACCTATAATATTTTTAGAACAACTTTCTCTTTTACAATCAAGATCAATGAAATAGAGTTAACCGTGAACTGAACTGGTATAACAGCCACTTCAACTGAAAGGATGGATCAGAAATCATGCCACTAAAAACTTGCCTAGATTGTTGATGTCCTACTGCTTCATACTCTCACTTCCCTCTTTTTCCTGAGTTAGAATTAAGATAACACCATTCCAAAATCAATAAAAGAAAGGAATATGAGACTTTTTGTAAATAACTATTATTTTTCATGACTATTTAAAATGTTTGCACATGTATTCACTGAATAAAAGGAGCAGTACAGTTTTCTAAGATCCTTCTTTGCAATAATAAGTTATTTTAAAAATATAAGAAGCTGAATTTAGGATAAGTGAGGTAATAATGAGTATCTTAGCACTCTGGATTTACCAAAGAAGACACAAAAGAAGGAAAAGAATGCAGGTAATGTTTAAAAAACAGTTCTTTAAAGGATCAGATATGTGTGTTAGTCCCTCATCAAACTGCAGGTACTATTCCCCATGCCACACAAATGAGGCACAATCATGTCCCATTGTAAGCACTTTTTATATGAAGTGTCACCATGACATTGCCTTTGTCTCATACAAGCCCATGAATGAATCAGCTAAAATTTGTCTTCAGCTTCTCCAGTATTAATGATTTTGTTTCCTTCTCCTGCCACAATCTTTTGCTATGGATATAGTCCAACATATTTCATCAGCTGATCTGCCAAGCTTCAACTGAACACTTTAGGCTGCTCTGAGGACCTCTCCAATCTGGTTGCAGGACTCCTAGCTTCAAGACCCTTTGATGGGGTGTAGAATTGACTGAGTGCTTGGCTTTAATTGACATCTCCATTTTCCAGAGTGCCTATTCTATTAGCCCTTCTCTCTCTCTCTGGCTTTAGGTAGAGAGAAGTTGCAGTTCTGTCCTAAGATCCAGAGAAGATAAGTGAGCAGGATCATCACTGACTTTTATTTGTGTGCATATGTCTCTTTGTTAACAGTTTTCATGAAATGGCCATATATGATATCCCAGCAACTATAGCATTCATTTTGCAGAAAACAAAGCAAAGTAGTTTATATTACTTTGGCCATGCCCAGGGAGGAACAATAGGTAAGTTAAAAATGGACATATGTATTCTTTCCACAATTTGATAAAGAGTATTAAAAATACAGTCTTTTCTATTTTTAAGCAAGCTTGAAGATTAAGCAGAAGACAATGCTGTTTTGCTTTTGTCCCTATTATCCTATACACAGATTTCTATTGATCTTGTTTTGGAGGTTTCAGAAACTAGATTGTTAAGGACCTATTTTGAGGGTGTTTTTTAACACTTTAAAAGTGTTATTTCACACAGGGTGGAGTTAAGATCTATAGATTTGCAATCAGATTGCCCTAGTTACATAATTTGCATGTGTCTCAACTCAGCTGAGTACTTTGCTCAAGTGAATTACCCAAGTTACAAAATCAGAAGCCACTTAGATTTACTGCTCTTGTTTGACAGAAATGCCTTTTGTGCAAGCATTGCTTCTATGTAGTAGCTACTTCTGATGAAGTGAAGGGAAACATTGCAGCTTCTACCAGTTGGAAGGGGGCAGTGTAATCTTCTTAGAGAAACTTCAAAGTTGGTCCTTTGAAGTCATAATGTAGAATTCTGTGAGTGAATGTCATACCTCATTCCACCCTACCATCAGTTTTTCTCTAAAGTTTTTTTCTTCATTTGTTAGTCTTTAGAATTGTGCCCCTACAAATTCAGTTTACATTTCTTCTAAGCTGTGTTTTTTTAATTATTCTTGCTTAGTTCTTAGAGTGTAGCTATCTATGCATGATGTGACATGGGGTTTTCAAGTTTGAAATGGAGTGACTTGCCCAAGGTCTCTAGCTGACATCTGTGGCTAAGGGAAGACTAGATTCTTTCTACACCTATTCCAGCACCTTAACCCTACATCAGACTGGGTCTCAAAATGAATGTTAGCATTTCCTTGAGTAACATGAACTCTTCTTTTAAATTTACTGGCAGAGCAATCATATTCTTCCCTTATAAATGCAGTCTGGCTTTAAGATGGATTATTAAGGTGACATCTTACTTGTCATGCAAAAGGGTGTTCACTCTGTGTTGTTTCAGTAGTTTGAAAATGAATGATGTTCCAACTATTCACCCTGTTCTTATATTTACATGTGTGAAGGGGGGGGGGGAATAATAACAACGAGATGGAAAGAAGGAAGAATGACTTTAGATATTCAGAAGAAGTTTGGTATCACCTTTTCAAACTGAGAGATTAAAAGGCATGAGCTTTGTCAGCTGAAACTCATTTCATCAGATGCAAAGAGTGCCCAGACTGATGTTGAATTTAAATTGGCATGAGGTTGGGAGGGGCAAGGAAGAAGAAGATACTATAGGTTGGTTATCTAGATGTGAAACATATTACAATCTCCCTTTTTTAAAAATAAAATTTTATTAGTTTATAGTATACAATACAAAGAAAATACAAAAGTAAATAATAGGAAGAATAGGGAAGGGGAAGGGGAGAGGAAAAAAGAAAAAAAAGCATTGACTTCCAACTTCCTTTGGTGCAGTAAAATAGAATATCAACATCAAACCTCAACTTTTTACTTTTACAAAATAGTATAAGCTAGCCATTTCAATAAGAACAAATCTATCTAATCAGTAAGGCCCAAAATCAAAATTTCATTTTTTTTTCCACCTCAAGCACAAAATCCAGAAGCGGTTTCCATATAACAGTAAAAGTATTCTGTCCTAGACAGGAGATTTTGCCTTTCCAATCTGGAACAGATAGATAACTCAGAGGAACAAACAGAAAATATTGCTTTATTCTGGGAATCCCAACAATGACTTACAGTTTGTAGAGGTGCATCCAAAATAGGTTTCTGCAATTTGATTGTCCCACAGATAAATTGACATTAAATTTCCCCTCTTCTCCTTCTTAAATGTCACATGTTGGCGTGCCCATGAGATCTCCAACCGTGTAGCTGGAAGTCATGGGCTGAATGAACAAAGGCAATCCCATGTGGCTAGTGTCCAGGAAGTATCCCAATGACCTTTAGAAACTCCTCCCATTGACCTATTAACAAACCCAGTCTTTAACCCAATAACTGCCAGGGTCCAGAACACTCCCCGCTTGGAAATTTAAATTTCCACTACTAACTAACTGAAATAGCAAAACCATAGCATTAAGGCATGCACTACTCATTGTTCACTATCTTGTGACTAAATAGGTAAATACAGTATCAAACATGCATAACTATAAAAAAGAGGAAGCAAGTGTTACATCAAACAATGCATAACACAATACATAATTTGAGGTTTGATCTTCTGGTTCAGTCTTCATCAGCAATGGCGCCAACTCGGTGATCAGCCTGGTACAAGTGTCTTTGAGTCACGACCTGACTCTTGTGGCTTCACGACCTGGACCTCAGCTTGGTGAAGTAGTTCATCAACTGGGTGGGCCCAGTGTACAAGTCCCATGGGCCGATGGTTCTGGTATACGTTCTTGTCTCTAAGTGAGACAAGGTCTTCTTCCTGTAAAGGAAACTGGAACCAAATCTGGAACAGAAAAACTGGAACCCAAAGCTTCTCAGGAACAAAGGGAACTGGATTCACAGGATACTCAGGAACTGAAGAACCTGGAAAAACAGGAACAGCTGGATCTGGAAACACAGGAACAGCTGGATCTGGAAACACAGGAACAGCTGGGGCTGAAGAATCAGGATCAGGAACATCTGCAAATTCAGGAACAGCTGGATCTGAAGAATCAGGAACAACAGCTGGAACTGAAGGATCAGGAACAACAGCTGGAACTGAAGGATCGAGAACAACACCAGCTGCAGAAGACTCAGAATACTCAGGAACCGAGGTATCTGGAACCACCGATGGAGTATTGAAGATGGCTGCTACTGTTGTCATCAGGGTAGTGAGGACTTCATGTGTGGGTGTGGGTGTCTTTAACGACATAGAGTCCATGGTTTCGCGAGGTGCACCAATCATGTGCTCCCACACTTCACCTATGCACGCTTCGCCCACGTGAGATGTATGGGAAAGGCAATTTTTGGCCGTCAGGCATTTGTCAATCACTGGGTCATGGCAAATGTCTTCAATAGTCTGTAAGTCCTTGCAGACTCCTATAAGGTTCATTCTTGGGATGCTAAGACAAGTGATCAAGATGATCAAAACTATGCCTAATCTCAGGTGCTTCCGCTTAGTCAGGGGTTTGAAGCAGATTGGTTGACGTTTACTGGGTGCCTGAAGTTGGAGGTTGGCACATTGATCTGGAGTTGGAAGTACATAGCATTTTGGTCTCTGTGGCATTTGTCTGTTTGAACAGACCAAGAACTCAGGACTTTCTAGCCAGGTCAGATCTGTTAACTGTGTGGCAAGGTTGGGCCACTTCACTTGGTTCACAAAGTTGTTACCTGTTGGCACATGTTGCCATTGTTCAGGGCTCAAAGATGTTTCAACTCTTTTCATTCTGTTACCTACATAGACATAGAAATGTCTGCTTTGTTTGTAGATGTAGCTTGACATCTCCTTGCTGTCTGCGTAGAAGGTGGTAGACTGTAGTTCAAGGCACGTCTTCGCTGTCAATTTGGTGAGCTTTACAGCCAAAGTGGTACCACATAGTTCTAACTTTGGTACGGTGTGGCCTTCATATATTGTTAGTCTCGCTTTTCCAAAGAAGACACCAAGACTGCAGCTCTCCCCGCTGTAGACTCTGATGTATCTTATGGTTGCAAATAAAATGACGTAAGTGTGGCTCTCCCCGCTGTAGACTGTGACGCATCTTAAGGCTGCATTTGCCTTCATTGACACATCTAAGGAAGCATACAATTCTTTCTTTTGCACTGTGGCGGGTGAGCTGGAAACATACGTGCACTGCACTTGCATACTCTTGGGGCATCTTGGAAGTATACTCCATGACTCCCGGTCTTGCAGACGTTGTTTGTCTTGTTTGTCCTCTATGGACAAGGCTAAGTTGTGATTTTTGCTTGTCTGGAACACTGTTGCTTCCAAAGCAGGTTTGGTTGTCACAAGTGTGCAGTGTTCTAGGTGTGGTTTTAGGTGAGGTGCTATTCCATTACTGGGAATGGAGGTATTTGATATGCTCACCTGGGTTGGGGCTTGCATTTGATCAACACAAACTGTCCCTCCTATGGCCCATCCGAGTTCCGTCTTAATGGCTACTGGGGTTCCTGGTGGACCTTTGATTCTCTCATCAGAGCCAATGGACTCTGGGGCGTCTCTTCCCACCATGAGTAGGATTTTAGCTTCAGGATCTAGAGGAGGGATTAAATCAGCTATGTGTGCTAAGTGAGGTATTTTTCTTGCCGCCTCTGGTGTTGAGATTTCACTGCGGATATCTGGTAAGGTCTCCCATTCCAACACTGATGGTAACCGGAAATGTGAGCTTCCATCTATCGCTTCTATGCATAGACCAGTGATTTTCCTCCCCGCCGTGCGCATTTGAACTGTGCACGTATTTATTGCAAAATGCTTCGGTTCACTCGGGAGGTCAAAAAGATCGAAAAAGGTGGGCTTTGCTATAGTAACTTTGCAGTGTGGGTCTAGTATGGCGTACATCTTTACTGCCTTTTCAGGTTGCCTGGCGGGGTAGACTTTTGCAAGACAGATGGGTGAGCATGAAGGAGGGCATGGTGAGTCGTCACATATATCTGTGTAGTACGTCCCGTACTGTTTTGGCTGCTCTTCGGAGTCAGTTTGAGTTTCCGTCATCGAAGTCACTTGTGTCTCTTCAGAGGGTTTTTCAGTTTCTAGATGTAAGGCTGCTGTGTGCTTATTACTGTCACACAGGTGGCATTTCACTCTAGCTGTGCAATCTTTGGCCATGTGTTCCATGGAGTCACAGCATTTGAAACATATCCTATTCTCTATGAGTAGGGTCTTTCGGTCATCTAGTGATTTTTTCCTAAATTCTCTGCAATCGTTTAGAGAGTGTGAGGACTTGTGAATTGGACAAGTCAAGCCTTTTTTAGTTGGACGAGGGTTCGAATGAACGCTTTTAGGTGTTCGTTCGTCTGGAAACTTCTTTGGGCGAGGTGTGATGTCTGTTTTGTACACTGAGAGGGTGGTTCTGTCCTTC